TTTAGAGAAAGACAGTGAGGCCAGCCACTGCCTACATGGGGCTGTTAATCTTCTTACTATAGAATAGGACAGGCTCCCTGAGTACCTTGCTCTCTCCTGTACTAGTTGGTTACTTTTGCCTTGATACATTTATATATTAGAACTGAGTTATGAACCAGTTATTTGGCAGTGATATCAGAAGGAAGAGTAATTGGCAGACTCTTAGTAAGCAATCTGATATTTACACTTTTGATCAAATATCTATTGAGTGGTAACAGAACTAGGGATTTCCCTTGGGATGTACTGTTAAATTTTATTTTGCTTGTTACAAGGGGTTTGCTTTAATGAAGTGTGACTCCCAGTACCCAGCAAATGGGTATATAGACATGAAAACTAGAATATTTTTCTTGTGATCCTGGGTAACAGTATGGCTTTATACACTATTCTAGATGTTGTCAGGGGAGCAAAGAAGTACAGACTTCCCCTTGCTCCTAATTTGTAAGGAAAGGTAAAGGACTAGGCCAATGCTTTGTGTGGGGGTGGGTGGGTGGGGGGGTGGTACTCAGCATTATTGCAAGTAAATGGCTCTTGTAAAGTTAGAACTTTATCTTGAGCCTCTGATATTCATCTCCTTACTGTGTGACACCGAGTTAACCTTTCTGAGCCTTCACTTTCTCACTTAGAGATGTTAAAAGGACCGAGTTTGCAGTTTTATGACTAGGTGTTTGTGTTTTTCATTCCTACAAGATGGACAGTGGCTACCACACGCAGACTTGTGGAAGCAGTATCACTGCTGATATTGCTGGGACAGAAAGCTACTGCAAAGAAAATGTCATGCAGTCTTTCGAAGTGGAAATGAAACCTCAAGTTTGTAATACAAAGGTATGGAGAAAACAGCTTGATAAGAATACAGACTGTAAAATTTACTAAGTGACTTTTCTCAACCTATCTTCTCACCATTCTGTATAGTTTTTCCATGCTTATGCTCCCATCTTGTCCTATAATTAAGACTCCCAAGTTCCTCACCCTCCCATGGGAGAGAATGAGTTGGAGAGGGAGAACTAGCTCTACTCTAGACAAAATGTAAACTCTTATCTATAAAGGGAAACAGGAAAGGCAGAAACATTTGTCTCTAATATTGATTTTTCTGTCTTTGAAATATTTCAATCAGCTCAAACCTAAATATAAAAATAACTACTATTAGGAAAATAGTACAACTGATTACATATCAAGTTAAAAGCACTTAAAGATTTTGTATATGTATAGTCATACACAATAATGGTCTCAACATCTTCACTGTTGGGTATTTATCATGCACTTCAAAAGTATTATTGTTCTCCAGTTCTTTCCTGAAGGAGTTCTTAAAACTCAATAGCTATTAAAGATTTTCATTGTTCTAAGGAAAATGTAGGTATTTTAGATATGTCAGATATATGTACTAATATAGTATACTTCTGATGTAAACATTTTATGGTTAACAATTACACATTCACATTTGAAACCCATCATCTTAAGAACTAGCTAGGATAGCCTCTTACTAGCTTATTATTATACAGTATATGATTAACTGTGCAACAAAACCTCTCTCCAAGTAAAGTTCAATAAGAAATCTACCCTTTTCCTTGTTATATGTAATATCAAAGTAAGTCTAAGATTAATACTTTAACAAAGTTGATTCTGATAATCCAGCTCATTTCCTTTATCCCTCAAAACCTAAGCTAAAGGAAAGATTCTTTTGAAACAGAATATTAAAATACTATCTTTTGGGCTAAGGCTTATTGCTCAGTAAGTAGAGAACCTGACTAGCATCGACTAGCATGTCCAATATCCTGGGTTCAGTTCCAGTACTACCCAAAAAACAGAAAAAAAAAAAAAATCAAAAATCCACCCCAAACAAAAACTCTTATCTTCACTAGCCCCTTCAATCCAGGAAATCTACATACAGATTTTAAAACAGTTCACGTAATAGTTGTACTTTTGAATAGTCCTAAACTGAAAAGAAGGTATTTTCTTCTTTTTCACAGCAAGACCATACAGTGCAGAGGTGCTGGATGAAAACTGCAAGTCCATCTCAGTGCAGCAGCCCGTAGTCTCAGGACCAGAGACTACCACTCAGTAGCCTGTGTTTTCAGGCACGGCCTAACATGATGGTGACTGGGGTAACTGCTTCCAGTAATATGCCTTGCTCCCTCCGGAATGTGAAAAATCAGTCCACACAGGAAATTAGTGACGGGGACAGAAGCTCCAAGTTACTAAAGTACAAGCTTATTTTTTTAACCAATAAATATTTTTGTATTTGCGTTGAGTGGTTTGTTTAACAAAAAATTATGACAGATGATGGCTTTCTCCTGTCCTCCAGGGTCACTGAACCACTTGTTAAGACTTGGAATGAGTCCTGAATTTAGCAATTCTTAGAACATGATAAAACTGTTAAAACTGAATGCACTATATATTTTTACATGAAAACTGTGTGAAAGAAATCTTGAGATATAAAACTTAAAGAGGTAGAAAAGAAATAAAATTTCTGTGGGGAAACGACTTAGTTTTTGGTATAATCACTCGAGTTAATACTCTTAAGTGTACATGCTAGGAAGGTGCTACAGACTGGTCCCCATCCTCTACATTGCCATGTGTGAGGTGAGTATGGATGCCACAGTAGTCTGTACCACCATTCCTAGGGCATCCCTCAGAGCTCAATCTTGGCAGAACATGGGAGAATCAGAATCATCAGGCAACAGTGGAATTCCTCTTGGGCTCAGAACCATGAAGAAACAATTGGGAAAATAGCTAAATAAAATACATTTTAAAAATATGTATCAGAAAAAGATGGATATAATGTGTTTGGAAATATCAAAGACTGTATTTTTGTATTTACTTATTTCATAAGAACTGACATACTCAAAAAATGATTCATTAGTCCTAGAAAATAAAGATTTACCATTATGTCCTTAGTACATCCTTAGTATGCTTATTGCTTACACACACACACTCATGTCTTCACCTGATTCAACACTAACCAATGTTGTGAAGTTGACTGGCCAATTTCATCTTTATCTAAAGACAGCTATTATCCATGAGTTCTGAGTCTGGGACGAGCAGCCTCCCTGGCTACCTTCCAGTTTTCTAAAGTAATAATCATTAACTCAAGTAAGTAACTTGTCTCACTATTTGTTCTTGGCTTTATCTGTTAAATGGGAGTAGCAGTCCTAAAGGGCTCCTTCAGTTTGTTTTGAGTCAGTCTCACAATGTAGCCTAGGCTGGCACTGAAGTTTGTCTTATTTCAGTCACTAGAATGTGAGGATCAAAGGTGTGTTGTTTTTGGAGTTTCATCTGCAATCCAGTTATCCTCAGTATCCCAGGACTAGTTCTAGGACCTTCCATGGATTTAAAAAACAGAAAACATTGGATGCTAATGTCCCTCATAAATGACATGATCTTTGCATATAAGGTATGCACATCTTCTCATTCTATCTACTACAATGTAAATACAATGAAAATAGGAGTTTTATTATTTGGGGGAATACCGACTAATGCACAGATGCATCCCACCCCCCCACCCCCAAGTACTTTCAATTTGGAGATGCAAAGCCTGGACACTGTTCTGTGTAATCTGCTTAGCTTCATAACTAGCACTAGAGAAAAAACATTTTAAAGGCTCAAAGCAGAGGCCTTGGGGCATTTAGGTTTTTGATCATAATTTGCTCAATTGAGATTAAAGCCTGTACTTATTAAAATCACTAGACAATTAGAATGGTAACAGACATGGGGGCTGCTCCATAGGTAAACTGCTTGCTGTACATGCATGAAAACCTAACCTACATGAGAGGTAAGCATGGCAGCATGTGACCGTGACTCCAGATTGGGGGGTGGGGGTGGGCGCGGGACAGGACTGGTTGATTCTAGCCAGTGTAGCTGCAGAAAGTGACAAGCTCCAAAGTTGAGAGAAAGACACTGCTTCAAAAAATTAATGTGGAGAAACAACTGAGGAAGACATCCAATGTCCCTGGCCTTACACGTACCCACAGGTGAGAACATGTATTTGCACACAGATAACACACATAACTTATTACTGGCTATTACCAAGACGACCCCATTTTCTACTGCAGGTAAAATATGGCAAATAGTTTAACATTTTTAACTTTGTTCTTGCCTGTATTCATATGTTTGTATAGTACTTGAGTGTTGGAGGCCAGAAGTAGCATTGGATCCTCTGGAATTGGAGTTACAGATGGCTAAGGGCCATCATGTGGGCACTGAGAGTCAAACTGGGTCCTCCAGAAAAGCAACTGGTGCTTGCTCTTAACTGTTGAGCTATCTTTCCAGGGCCTCACAAACAGTTCTTGTCTTGTGTTTTACAATAGTCTGATCAAATCCAAGGCCTTGTACATACTAGGCAGTCATTAAACCACTGAACTACATGCCCAACTCAACAGCAAAAAAACTGAGTGATTGGTAAGTAAAGCTCAAGAATATCTGTTATACATAAAACTGAAGCTTGTTTCCTTGGAAAGCTGTTTTTTTTTTTAAGAACATAACCATCCCTGTTTACATATTGTTTTGAGTGCTTATAAACGACAATTACAGCAGAGTTGTGCTATAGTTATAGTTCAGCCAACAGCCTGAAATGCTGTGTGTGGCCTTTTACAAACAAGGTCTGCTGTCTCCTCCTCTACTATCAGTCACTGATCCATTTTATTTGGACCAAACACTAAAGACTGTCTTCCTTCAGCTATACAGAAGTACTTTACTTGACTGGAAACTAAACAAAGTTGAATTAAAATTTTCTGGCCGGGCAGTGGTGGTGCGTGCCTTTATCCCAGCACTAGGGAGGCAGAGCTCTGTGAGTTCGAGGCTAGCCTGGTCTACAGAGCGAGATCCAGGACAGGCACCAAAACTACACAGAGAAACCCTGTCTCGAAAAAAACAAAACAAAAAAAAAAAAAAAGTTTTTCTAGTGTAATCATTAATCTGGGATTTGAGACAAGTAGTCAATTCAGTATATCAAATGAGACTTCATTCGATCCTTTTGATGTCTTTAATACAATCCCTCCTTTCCTATATAATTGGATATAATTAAAATTCAAAGGCCATTATCTGTTTTTGTAAGAAAGCAGACATTTCCACATCGGTTTTTCCTCTGAGGGGTAATGCCTTGTTTGAGAGAAACATTGGCAACAGAGATTAAGGATAATGATGACTGAACTTACCACCTTTTAACAAAACTCACAATGTTCCCATTCAGGTCAAGATACCTGAGATTTTGTTTTCTTATCATCCCCAAACATTCACAATTGTTTGAGGACCATTAGTAAAGTACAGGAGGCTTTTGAAAATACATGTGAACACAGTGCTGCAAATAGGGAAATTAAATTGGTAAAAAGATCAAATACACTGACAGCTCAAGATTTAGAAAGGCTTGCTCTTTGATTCTAAAATGTTATTTTCCTCAGAAATTGACAGTTTTCCCCCATAGTCAATAAAGTACTAATATAAAATTAATCTGCTCTTCAATGAGCAGATGAGTACTCCATTTAAATGATCATCACCGATCCCTGAGGTCGCTATTCTGTTGCCATTTAAGTGATGGATATTCAAATGAATTTTTCTGCATAATTTGTGTTGTTGCTGAAGCACAGTGTAAGACAGATTCAGTCAGCAACTCAATAAAAATGCAAATTTCTTAAAATTATTGAAATGTACTTAAAAGTAACTAACAAGCACACGAGCTTCTAAGTGTGCTTGCAGTTTTGTTGTTGAAGGTAATCCGTCTTGGATGTTTTCTGTTGCACGTAGCTACTTCTCAAGTTTCCTCTTCTTCCCCCCTGGCCCACTGAGATCCGTGTCGGAAACATCAGGAGGAGTATTTATTCCTGGTATCTGAAACAGTGTAAGTGGAAAAATAAAGGGGTTAGAAGCATCAGAGAAGAAACTTGACCTCCCCTTCCCCCTTTACCACTAGCACTTTAACTGGCATCGGGTTTTCCAGTGGAGGGGATGGAGGCTGCACCGCACACAGCTATGCACACAAAGTAACCTGGGTGGGGAAGTAACCAGTGGGCTCCGTGAGAGGCTTTTCAGAGGGTACGGACCTGCACACCTGCAACCTCAGCACCTGGGAAGATCACTGCAAATTCAAGGCTAGCCTTGTCTACATAGCAAGAAAACTGAGAAGCTTCAACTTTGACAGTGTTTATAATGTAACAACTCTTCCTCCTGTCCAATTTACCCTAGCGGCTTTATGTTGCAGCAGACAGCAAGCATCCAAAGCCAAAAGGTTCAAAACCAGGATCTTACCTGAAGTACCTACACTTAACTTGTATATTATAAAACAGGAGTAGTAACTTGTATATTATACAACAGGAGTATTAACTTGTATATTATACAACAGGAGTAGTAACTTGTATATTATAAAATAGGAGTAAAGAAATGGGCAAGAGGACCCTGATGCCTGGAATCCAATGCTCTTAGGTATTTCAAGTATTGACTTGAAATACCTAAGACCTCACTAACTAGATGTTAACTTTTCTACACCATTCAGTTAAGTTTGGTCTTACCTGTGGTTCTACAAGGGCCATGCGGATTTTTTGATGTTGAAGATTTGATGAATCTAATGTGATTTTCACTTTAACTTTATCAAACACATGGAACACTGTACCTTCTATTCTGAGTGAAGGTATCTTAAAAAAAAAAAAAAACATTTTATTGACATTACTTCTTAAACTTGAATATCAATTCTACTTCTAGTTTACCTTCCACAGTAATTTAAAAGTTTAACCACTCCCCAGTTGAGGACAGGAAGTTGGGAGGGAGATGTGATGGGTTCTAGAGGTAGTTGGAGGGGAGAAGTGAGAGGGTAAATATGATCAAGATCTATTTTACTCACGTATGAAATTTTCAAAGAATTAAAAACCCCACAATATTAGCAAGCATCCAGGTATTGAATACAGAAAACCACCACATCAACCTAATAGTCTCAAATATAGTCTATTTATGTGCACACTTCATCTTGTCACTAAGGTAGTCCTGTTATACATCATTCATCTTAGTGACTTAGCTGTCTGTAGTAAAGGAACACAGCACACCATTTAAATATTCTCTTAAGAAAAGTTTAATTGATGAGATGTGGATTTTCTGGCATGTATTTTGAGATTTAGGATACAAATACGCTGTGGAATAATCCTTCTGTACACTGTGTAAATTATGCTGTGATTGGTTTAATAAAGAAGCTGACTGACCAACAGCTGGCCAGGATAAGGTTAGGTGGGAAAACCAGACTAAGAACAGTGGGAAGAAGGGTGGAGTCAGAGGAGTCACAAAGAAGCAGAAGAAACAGGACATGTAGAAAATGAGGTAATAAGCCATGAGCCACATAGCAGAACTTAGATAAGAAATACGGGTTACTTTAAGTTGTAAGAGCTTATTCATAACAAGCCTCAGCTATCAACCAAGCATTTATAATTAATAAGTATCTGAGTGGTCATTTGGGAGCAGCTGCCAAGACACAGAGAAACTCTGCCTAGATAAATACAGGACTTTTTTTTTTTTAACAATTTATAGCTATAGTTTGGAAACTGTCAGAGAAAATAGGCCTCTCTTCCCCAAGAAAACAAGGATCAGCAATACTATACCTCATCATCATAAGTAAGCCGTGGCTTTGGTTTATCTTTTTCTTCAAAAAAAACTGTACCTTCTAAGCCATACTTTGGAATTAACACCACAATTGCATTCTTTCTTACAAAGAGAATATAGGCTTCTTCACTTACTATTCCTTTGCTTTTGAAAAACAACTGTAAAATACATACAATCTTGTTAGACGTCTTATTTTGAAATTTACAAAAATAATTTTGAAAATACCAAATGAACAAAATTTCCCACTCCCAGCACTACAAACAAAAGGCAAATACCTGGGTATGAAAAGTTACTGATGCACGCTGAGCATACTGAGCCATTTTATGCCGGAAATTGAGATTTTTACATATATCTGAAAGCTTGTGTTTATCTGTCAGCTCTGGATAAGTACTATCAGCCCCAATAGCCACAGCCAACAGCCGATGAACAATTATGTCTGCATATCTACATATATGTAAAATAAGAATGATGGCAAATTAGTTTTACATTTTTTAAATGAAAAGTTAACCATTTTCTATCTCCTTTTACTTTTGTCTGGAAAAAAAAAACAAACAATACCTTCTAATGGGAGAAGTGAAATGTGTGTATATTGGGGAGGCTAAGCCATAGTGATGAAAGTCATTGTCCATCCCAGAACAGAAGTAGACAGCTTGCATCATACAGCGAGTGGCCAATATCCTTAAAAGAGTGTTCAGGTATGGGAAATCAGGGGATTCAGCCCGGTCCAAAGAGTCAGCCAAAGACTTAGCTGTGTCAGTCTTAATTTCCAAATTCTGTCAAATAAAAGGAAGAGAAGCATGAAATGAAACATTTCAAAATTAGTGGTGTCCTTCCTGCCTCTCTTTGCCCTTCTTCTCCCAACCCCTCAGCCTCTCTTTGAGATAGCGGTCACACAGTGTAGCTGTGGATGGTCTGGAACCCTCAAGAGATTAGCCTGTCTCTACCTCCCAAACACTGGGATTAAAGGAATGCTAACATCCAGAATTAGTATCCTCTCTTTAAAATATAAGTACATTTAAAAACCATAATGTTTGTTACAGATAGTAAGAGTTCATACATTTTTATCTGTTAACTAGAAGCACTGAAAATAACTTTAAATAATGGTTGTTTTGTGCAGTACTAAAGCTTGAAAATTCCGGACTTCATCTGAAAGTCCTCAAGTATTAAGAATTCTGAAGTTCCAAGGAAGAGAAGGCCCCTAGTGCAGCTGTGCCAGTTCTTTCTCAGTCCAGTGTATGCTTGCTAATCTCTGAGGGTAGAGAAAATCAAGATGATACGGACACTTTTCAGTATGTCTGGCTCCTCTGGAGATTCTTTCTTCCACTGAAAGTAGAAGTAAAGGGCAGGAGCAAGCTAGTCAATCAAAGTTCAGTAAGAACAATGTTATGGTGCATCCAACTCAGCTGCTGAATTCTACCTTAACAAGACAAACTGAATCATCCTTCCTCTGCCATATCTTGGTAAGAAATAAGACAAGCTCAGAAATTCCCCAACATGCAGTAATCCTTGGGACTGGGAAGTAAGGCCAGCTCCGATGAATGAGGAGCAGGGTAAGAGAACTATAAAATCAGAAACTCCTACCATACTATTCCAATAGTGCTATTCCTTATGTGTTTGCAATAGGAAAAAAAGAGCCTATAAGTGATCCAAAGAAAACCAAAGTAAGATAGAGTCACACCAAACCTAAGTATGATGAAAGAAAAGCCTAGTAGCCAGACAAAGAGGTATAAAGGGCTGAAGTAATATCCCCCTTTCCATATAAGTCATAAATAGCCTCCTTTTGTGTAGACATGATACAAAGAGAGCTGAACTGGGGTGAAATAAAGAAAAAACAAATTACTTGTAAATCTCCAAAAGCTATGCATTTCATAGAAGCCATGTGTCTTAAGAGTTTCTATAACTATGATAAAATACCATGATCAAATACAACCTGGGGAGGAAAGGGTTTATTTCAGCTTACAGTTCCATATCACAGTCTATCATCCAGGGATGTCAGGTCAGAAGCCCAAGACAAGAACCTGGAAGCAGGAACTTAAGTAGAAGCCATGGAAGGACACTGCTTCCTGGCTGCTACCCAAGGCTTGCTCAGCCTGTTTTCTTATGCCTGCCTAGGGATAGCACTTTAACAATGGGCTGAGAAGAATCACTAATCAAGGAAATGCTCCAAAGGCTTGTCAACAGCTCTTATGGAGGCATTTTCTCAAGATGACTCTAGCTGTGTCAAGTTGACAAAAAACTAACCTACTGGGTTATAAAGTATTATATTAAAGGCATGTGCCACCTATGCATGGCCTGGAAGTAATTTTAATGAGATTGGGCAATCTTGGACAATCATGGGGAAGTTAAAAAAAAAAAACTAAATTAATGTTAACCTTTTTTTTTTAATTATGTATAAAAGAGATGGAAGAGCATACTATGGCTAGGATACTGTAAATAACTTAAGTTTAAATCATTTGGCTTTAGGACTAGGTGCTCCTTATCAGACATAAAGGACTTTAGTATGTAGCTGGTGTCAATGTATATGTAGGAAGAGATGTGTCCATTATTTTAATATTAAAAAGAACTACTGGTATATTTTACATTAACTAAACTTTTTTAAAAAATATTTATTATGTATAGTGTTCTGCCTGCATGTATGCCTGGACACCAGAAGAGGGCACCAGATCTCATTACAGATGGTTGTGAGTCACCATGTGTTTGCTGGGAATTGAACTCAGGACCCCTGGAAGAGCAGCCAGTGCTCTTAACCTCTGAGCCATCTCTCCAGCCCTCAACTAAACTTTATGAAAACATGAATAGTAATTTTTCAGTGTAATGGATAGATCAATACAAGTACATGTGACTTTTCAATCTTTAAGACTTTACCTTGGACTTGGCTGCCTTAACAAGAATCTCATAATTGGAGGGAGGTGGAGCTGGATGTTTTCGAAGCAGAGCATGTTCAGAAAATTCTTCGTGAATCTTTTTTGCAACAGAAATATTTGCAAGTAACATAAATTCTTCCACCATGGAATTTGTTTCTCTGCCAGTTAGAAAAGCATCAAGTAAATAAGACAAGCCGAGACAACTGTCATCACATTTATTCACAAGTTACTTTTCTAGTGATAATGGAAACATTTCCCATGTAAAAACATTCACATGTGGCACATACCTATTTTTAATACCTTAGCTGCTACACTAATGGTCTTCCCCGTGTCTCTCCTGGGTAAATCTAGTATGCTAGAATCATTTCAAATTGTATTCAAGCGGGAGAAAAAAAGGAAGCTTCCCTAACTTTAACATAAATATAAAACCAACATTTTACCTCCTCTTACAAAAAACAGAGCTATGAAAATAAACTTTACTGGGAGAATTAAAAGCTAGGTCACACAATATTATCTAAAGTCCCCAAATTTTTTCCAACAAATCACTAATATATTTTCAATAGCCAATCTGGGTGCTTATCTCAGGTGACACTTTCTACTATAACTCCACACACACAGTAACACACACAGCAACACACACAACAGACATATCTGATTTCTATAACTCCACACACAGTAACACACACAACAGACACATCTGATTTCTATAACTCCACACACACAGTAACACACAGTAACACACACAACAGACACATCTGATTTC